TCATACATGAATAGAACGCCATGGATACGTTTTTAAATAGGTTATGTATATATGGTTAATATCTTAATGACCTTGATACATGTAGACTTAAGTTTTTTAAATAAAATAAGTATAATAATTAATTAATTAATTAATAAGATTCAAAAATCACTCCCCCATTATAAATTATTCCTTTATAAAACTGAAAAAACACCTATCATATGAAATTTAAAAGACTTAAATTATTAAAAAAAAGTAAATATTGCTTATTTTTGTAATAATACATCATACAAATTTTTTAATTTTAATTAATAATTAATAAAATTTATCATATAACATCTACTATATTTTTTAAAAATAAATAATTAAATATCAAAATAATATTTAATCATAATTATAATGAAATATAATACAATATAATTATAATTACAATCACAATTACAACTATATTGCCCCAGTAATTTAAACTAATTAAACGAGGATTGTTGTTAGTTGCTCCACACGACAAGTGCATCCGCCATTTTTTAGCAAACCGGAGAACCGATAGACTGGTTAAGATTGAAGTTGATGGGGGAAGAATGGTCATGGATTTGGTTTAGAAACTGCAAGCAACCTGCTCCTTCGAAGATGGTTTGTAGTTTGTACTCAGATTGAATGACCCATCTGGATCCAACCTAACCACCCACTCACGTGTTTAACTTGGGGTTAGCTCGCTGGCGGAGACAAAGGGGCATGAGGGCGCACAGGCCCCCTCTAAACTTTTGTAAAAAGTTTAGTTTAGTCCCTTATGTTTTATTTTTATGTTTTTTATCCTTAATTACTCCATATCATTTTAATCATATTCTAATATTTGTATTATTGAAGATTACTTTTGGTGATATTGAGAAAGACTAGAAAATTAAATCTAATATGAGATATAAGAAAAGTAAAAATTAATTAAATAAAAATTATTTATTCTTATCTTCTTATAAAGTGTCTTGTTAATTAATATTTTTATATTTTCTTTTTCCTTATTCATAATATATATTCTTTCACTTAACATATTTGAATTTTTTTATCTTTCAATTGATAGTATTTATATTAAGTTATTAACTATTATTAATTTATCATTAAAAATAATAAATATTACTCATTAAATAATTTTTTTATTTTTTAAATTAACACACAAAATAATTATTGTTTAATTAAAATTTCATTCTGCCCCTAAAAATATTTTCTTGCTCCGTCACTGGGTTAGTTGACAGAAAGTCAAAAGATTCCACCCAAAAAATTGTTACTTTTCTTGCACGCGCATTGGTAATATGTAAATAATACAAAGATATTTTATTTTACAGTTTCTTTTGTGATAAATTATAAAAGTAGGACCATCAAAAAAAAAAAAGAAAAGAAAAGAAAAGAGGAGGGTCCAATGTCTCGGGTTCTCCTCCTCGGATGGTTCTGATCTGTGGCAGATTGCAAGAGAATGTTTTAGTTGTATAAAGAGGTAGAGTAACCATTTTCTTCTTTCTCCGCCCTTAAAAATATTCTCGCGTCCCGCCATTGGGTTAGTTGACGGAAAGTCAAAAGACTCCATTCCACCCAAAAAATTGTTGCTTTCCATGCAGACGCATTGGTAATATGTAAAATAATATAAAGAGGTAGACTAATCATTTCCTCTTACTTTCTCTCTTTTTTCGCCCCTTTATTTTTTTTTGAAAATTAAACACTAATGGTAATTTTGTAAATTACTTAGGGTTACAGGGTATTTTAGTTGATTAAAATTATAATCTTTTAATAATAGAACTTTCTAACTTGCAACCTTAAATATAAGTATATAAAAATTGATAATAATTTTAGTATTAATTGAATTTAATTGATAATTAATAGATTAAAAATTAATTTTTATTTTTTAATATAAATTTATAATAAAAATATATATTTAATATACATAAATCTGTACTCAAGGTACAAGATAAATAAAACTTTTAATAATTTTATAAATATTTATAAGTTTTTTTATTTGCAAGTGGCAAACACCACTAAGGACAGAACATATAAAAATTGATGGGATTAAATTAATAATTAAAACCTCAAACTTATAAGATTGCAACCTTTAAGTCCTTAAAATTAAACTAAGAATTGTAAAGAGTTAACAATTTGAGCAATTAGACTTGAACTTTTAGATGACATTGTGATGATTAAAATTTGAAATACAAGGTACTTTAATAGCTTGATATTTTTTATTTTAATTTAAAAATTATTCACTTTTATTTACCTTCAAAATTTGTAAGATTTTGATGATCTCTTAGAATATGAAAATTAAATATATAAAATTATAAATAAACTTAAATTTAAAAATGCATCATATATGTTAAAAATTTATCGTTATATGGAGTTAAAAAAAAAAAAAAAGGAGATAGATGAAGTGAATTTAAGTGATTATAAATGTTAAAAACCACTTTCATATTTACTAACAAAAACCAACCAATATTTATTTTGTATAAGATACAAGAGAAATTGAAGGAAACAAATGAAACTTTATAGACATTGTTATAATATAGGGACATAATTCTTCACATATTTCTTCTTTTAT